TCGTTCTACTTAATTATGTCATTAATTTTGTTATCGTTCACAAAAAAAAATTAATTGTCATATGCCGTACCTAGTAATAGAAAAAAAACTTTTGTTTTGGCATTTTACACACTACCAAGATTTACCGTTTTATTAATTAACACATCTATTATCTACCGCAATGTTTCCGAATTTCATAAAAAAAATTCTTTTCTTTTGGTTTGATATTTATGGATGTCGATTTCTTAAGTTACATGTGTAAGACCATTACAATAACGATCTACATTATGCTAATTAATGTTATTCCATGAGAATTTAGAAATTATCATGAAGACAAAAAAAGTTATAAGGACGATCGTTTAAGTCAAAAAAAACTAGTCGAATATTTAAAATATTATACGTTCAGTTAAAGGAGGCGTGACATTCAAATGTTCAAAACGCCAAATTGGATTCTTTTTTTTTCACAAATATGTGCCTACCAAAAGATTTTTGTTATTGTTCTTTCAATCATTTATTACCAAACTTTTATTGATTTTAAAAGAGGCGAGGGTATGGGGTTAAACGTTAATAACTGCAAAAGCAAATGAACAAGCCAATAATAAAAATATTTGACGTAAAAAGGCCAATAATAAATAATGATAGCATAATAAATGCAGGGGGTTAACACAGTATTAGCAAACAGTAGAAATTCCCTGGTGACCTACTCAAATGAGTAATAGCCCAATCTATTTTTAATTTTTGTATATGGTCAATCTTTTTAATGAATAAAACAAATTTTAATAATTGTAGTTTGAGAGAGGATCTTACTTCAGATAGTCATCCCCAAAAACAAAACCAAACTATTTGTTTTCTCGATGGTCAAGTTCAAGCAGTCGAAGAGTAGGTGAGGAAAGTAGCAAGTGTGATAGCATTATATCACTACTTGAACTCGATTTCCTGTAATGTATACTGTATACCTTTTATATTAATTTATAGTATTATATTATTTTCTGATAGATTTAAGGTAAGGTAATTATACCAAATAACCTCATATTTGAGCTTATTTTACTGTATCAAATGGGCAAATGGCACAGTGCTAATTAAAGGATGGTATAATTTTCGTACGCATTGATCAATATGTCTTCTAAACAAAATTTCAGCATTTTAACGTGTTATATCATTATGCATATAATATATATACATATATTTAAAATATAACATGCTATTATGTTTTTGATAGGAAACTATATATATTGGCTCTTTCTATTCAAATATGTGGAGATAGATATCTGTGATTTTCACTTCTTTTTACCCTTTAGTTTTTTACTATACACTTCTTTGGTGTTTTTTTTTCTCGGTCCCCTTTGATAGCCTTACACCTAAAACCTCAGCTAGCTGTTGATGCAACGTCTCTCTTTTGTTTCTTTTTTATTTTGCAAGTTGATGCAACGCGTCTTCACTCTTCAAAGACCATATACAAGTACAACTCCATATATATTTACATTTTTATACGTATAATATGTATAGGTTATACGTACGCAGATGCCAGATCGTAGAATTACGTAGTTCCATTTTTTACTCTCTTTTCTTAATTTGCACGTCTCTTTCTCTAAAGAACAAAATGCAGCAGGATTGAAGACACTTGGATTGTTGTCTGTCGAGTTCGTGCTCCTTTCTGTTGTTAATTTATTTGATTTAAGATTGCATGAGGAAATTGTTGTCATCAGATTACATAAACTTGAATATATATTGTTTTATTTTTATGTCTGTTATAGAAAATTCTTAGAACTAGAGCCAATATCGGAATTTGAAGAATCTTTCCAAATATGGAGGCTAACCGGTATTTGTTCTGAAACTACTCCGGGTTGCAATATATCTTTATTTGGGTATATACATCTATAGTTTTATTTCGTAGAATGAAAATGTTTGTTTAAGCTTCATATGAGTTTATGTAATGTTACAAATAGGATGTTATTGATCTATGAGTTTTATTTTTGTGTAACAAAAGTGTGTTGAAAAAATACTATAATGTTTATGATCAGGCCTCTATTACGGACCGAAATGGCGAAATGGTGTAATGTTTATGATCTCATACATAGTGGGCTTCAAAAGGCCGTATTAACTCTATCAGGCCTATTGATCCACTGGCACACTGGCTTGTTTGAGAGGGCCAAATTAGGGGTGTTCCAGTCCAGTTCATTGCAAAATTCACCTAATTGTTTATACTAAGTTTCTAATCAAAGAATTTTTAGTTGCGTTGTTTCACAACAAAATTATGACAAAACGAGTTATTCTAAAGCATTTGAGTTGTTTGAGACTGAAATAATAGTGATAAATATTTTAAAACAATAATGAAGATTAAAATTGAACAAAAATTATAGTTTTAAGACGATGTGTATTCTATCATACTTGAATTAAATTAGTGATATAACAACATATTAAATAGTATAAACCACTATGTTATATGTTTGTTACAAAAAGAAAACTACTATGTTATACTATATGTTATTGTCAAAAGACTAATTAAATAGATATAACGATAAAATCCGATGAGTTGTGGTCGTCTCGATTCGGACAGCGATTGAAAGGCGAATACGGATGGCGAAAAATATTTTCGCTTTAAAACAAGAGAGTAGATTGGTAATTAGGAGGTGGAGAGGACAAATGGAAGCTTACGAACTAAAAGTAGGACACGTAAAGAGATGGAAGAAGACGTGTGGTGTAAGTAATTTGATCTTCACAATATGTTTTGGTTTTATCTTCACATGCTTTGTCTTATCCTACGTGTCCATTTAATCAGTTCCGTTCGTCCAAACCATAAAGATATCAAATAGTCGTATAATAATGTTATCTACCATAAAGATGGTGAGGTCCATTTCTCTTTTAAGGTTTTTTTTTTTAATTTGAATTATGGGATTTTTTTCAATAACTATATTTACAAAATAATAGAAGAATATAATCATGCTATTTGATAAATTAGTAAATTAACCATGGCCTACAATCAATTATCGAAAATAATCTTATACTATACTCCATCTGTTTCATAATAAGTGTCATTTAGATAAAATGCATCTGCAATGTATATGAATGTATTAAACTCAAAACACATTCAGATACATCCAGTAACCATACATATACATTTTCTCCAAAAGACACTTATTATGAAACGGAGGGAATATTATACTATATACTATACTATATATAATTTTATAGAATAGTCCTCTCTTTGATATAATATATACAGAACAAGAGAGGAAGGAAGAGAAAAAGACGAGAGAAGAAAGGAGAAGAGAAAAAGAGAAGCAAGGAGAGAGAAAGAGAGGATAAGAAATGAGATCAGCGTGAAAGGAAAGGGAAAATGATGAGAAGAAAAGAGAAAATCGTAAAAAAAAAAAATTAAAACAAAGACAAAAAGGATAATTTTGTATATATAAAGAATATTATAACACCTATTTTACTATAGTTAGTTCATGAATTTAGCTTAGCAATATATTCATATGACCCAATTTTTTTTGAATTATTATTCCCAACGGACAGATAGATTTTTTTTTTTAATAATTATGCTTAGAGGACTCAAGTGACCTTGAGGACTCAGGTGACACATGCTTGGTTTCTAAATCCACAAATGACCAAATTTCTTACACTAATCATAAAGTATGTAGCTTATCTAAAATTGTGGGACCAAATTTTGATTTTGTGAACTGTTGAATGGTGACAATTGTTTTTTTGGAGAACTTCGAGGTCTGATGGTGTTAGGCAATTTCGCAGGCGAGTGGTTCAATGTTAAACATATTGAGTAAACAAAATTACATCATTAGGTGGGACTGTGGGAGATGACTTCGAGTTAGTTTCATCCATTGAGGAAGGCTTCTAGGAGGCTGTTCTCGGATTAGAGGCCTTCAGAATTTAAGCCATATATATTAGGAATTAATCCAAGGTTTAATGTGTTATATCTATTAGTTTATAAATAGTCTTCCCAAAAGGTTTATGTCGTAGGAGATATTGGTTAAATATGTAAAGATAAAATCCAAATTCTAACAGATTTAAAAGTATAAACGTTTGAATAAATTAAAGACTATGAATAAAGACTATCTGAACCGGGTTTGTAAACTGGGTAATTGGGTTATGGGTTCAGTCCAGGTGTGAAGAATTGGATACAACCTTTTTTCATAAACTATCTATTATCTTTTTTTTTGTCGAGAACTATCTATTATCTATATAACATGTATATGTGTCAAATGATTCTGAAATTAGAAAAGAAAACGGTGAACCCATTTGATATGTTCTCTGTATTAGGTTCTGAGCCGATTCCCAAACAGAGCTCACAACTTGTTGTGGATCGTGGTCCACTTAGAGTCAGTCTTAGATGGAAGCATCGTATATATTTGGAGCCTACATCTAATAAATACAGTATCTTTCCGATTATTTAAAAATAAATATTTACTACTTAAATTGGTTACTAACATAAATGTAAATTGTTGTGGGGTAGAAGCTGGCCCGGCTCACTAATTTAGTGGCTCCTGTGCCGCGCTGTGCAAATTATACAAATGGCTATAATTTTTAAGTATAGAAATAAATTTTAGGGTAAATTTGGTGAATAACCAAAAAGAAATTAGGGAGAATAAATAAAATATAAGTTTTTCAGTTTTTTTTTGGTTATTGAATTAAATATCCCTAAAATTTATTCTAAAAAGCTCTTAATTATTTGTAAAAGGAGCTTTGATAAATTTTTTGCAAAAATCAGATGATCCTTGTACATTTGCACCTTTGCTATTTGCCAAGAACCATTTTCTAATTTTTTTTTTAATTTACTAATTTGTGGGTTGGAAAGAGATATGATAAAATGTCTTATTTTTTTCATAGCTAACTTACTTCTTAGATATATTTGAAAAACCAATCTGATAAATACCTATTGACAAAAAGTCTTTAAAATATTTAACCAGATTAATGAACGGTTAGGAAGTAGTTATGCAATCTGTATAAAAGGTTTGTCCTATTCGGATTATGGAAACCAATATTTTTGGGGTTATTTTCTTATTTCTACCATCACCTAATAAAATATTAATATGAATAGTATTATCAAATAGAAAAATGAGTGGTTGAAAAGTTTTTTTTTTCCTTTTGATAAAAGGTTGGAAAGTTAAACAACACTTGGTTTTCTTATTTCCTTCTCCAATCTGGCAAATCTCACTCTCAAACACACATCAAAACCAAAATCCTCTCTTCTTGCGAGTTGCACCGAAAGACTTAAAACCCAAAATTGAGTGACAAAAAGATTGAGAGAAAGAAGAAAAATCGAATTAAAGAAAAAGATGGAGAATGGAGGATCGACGACGACGACGAGCACAATCACAATTAAAGGGATTCTGAGTTTGCTAATGGAAAGCATCTCCGAGAAAGAAGAAGAAGGAGGAGGAAGATGCGCGAAGAGAGTTATATCGCTTGGAATGGGAGACCCAACCCTATACTCGTGCTTCCGTACAACGCAAGTTTCACTTCAAGCTGTTTCAGATTCTCTTCTCTCCAACAAGTTCCATGGTTATGCTCCCACCGTTGGTCTTCCCCAAACTCGAAGGTCCTTTTCGTCATTTCCCTCTCTCTCTCTCTCTGTGTTTTTTTTTTGGGTCTGTTTAGTTTAACGCCACCGTCACGACCGTCATCTTTTTATTACTCGGATGTATATTTTAATACTTTTACGGAGAAAAAATCTTGGTAATTATTTTAGAATGACCTCGATATAGACGATAGTTGACAAATTTAAAAAGGACCTGGACAGTCATTAATAAAGGAAAGAATAAATTCAATAATAAAAAAAATTGTTTTTTACGTCATAAAATCTATTTTTGTATTTTTGTTTTTGTTTATGTCCTTTAACTTGTTACTACCTTCCGTAAATTTAATAAACGTAGACGTGGGGCTATTAGGGCCTAGGGCTGCCAATTTTGGGGATATTAGAGGAGGACTAGGGCTGCCAAAATTCGGTTGAACTCAATCGAATAAACCGAAACAGATATAACCGATTAGAAAATTGAACCGAGTCTATTTTACAATAAACCAAACCTAACTTCGAAAGTTTGCTAGATTCGATAAAACTTTCAAAATCATCAACACTAGAGTGAAATTTAAATATGAAAACAAACTGAACCAAAACTCATCAATTTTCAGAGCATTTTTATAGTTTTGGTTTAGTTAGGTTAACATCTCTTGTTTATGACTTGTTTTGAAGCTTTTGATTGCATAGAGAGTGTGTTTTTTTTTTTGCTGTATTTAATTTCTGAATGTCTAAGAAAAAGAAAGAAAGCTATCAGTGAGATTAATCAAAAGTTCAAAACAGAGAAAAAGCTAACTTGTAAATCAAGTCTCACACTTTTGTGTTATGAAACAGGGCAATCGCAGAGTATCTATCGCGTGACCTTCCATACAAACTGTCACAGGACGATGTCTTCATCACATCGGGTTGCACACAAGCGATAGATGTAGCATTGGCGATGTTGGCTCGTCCCAGAGCCAACATACTTCTTCCAAGACCTGGTTTCCCAATCTATGAACTCTGTGCTAAGTTCAGACACCTCGAGGTTCGCTACTTCGACCTTCTGCCAGAAAATGGATGGGAGATCGATCTTGATGCGGTCGAGTCTCTTGCAGACGAAAACACAGTTGCTTTGGTTGTTATAAACCCCGGAAACCCTTGCGGGAATGTCTATAGTTACCAACATTTAATGAAGGTTAGCTTTAAACTTTGACAGGAGGAAACAGAACCAATGTTGTTTGTTGTGTTTGGAATTTGATTGTATGTTTGTGTGTTTTAGGTTGCGGAAACGGCGAAAAAACTAGGGTTTCTTGTGATTGCTGATGAAGTTTACGGTCATCTTGCTTTCGGGAGCAAACCTTTTGTGCCAATGGGTGTGTTTGGATCTATTGTCCCGGTGCTTACTCTTGGATCTTTATCAAAGAGATGGATAGTTCCTGGTTGGCGGCTCGGGTGGTTCGTGACCACTGATCCTTCTGGCTCGTTTAAGGACCCTAAGGTTAGTAACAGCTTCAATCTCTTTCAAAATCTTGAATAAGCCATTTACTGATTTAACTTGTTCATTTGTGATCAGATCATTGAACGGTTTAAGAAGTACTTTGATATTCTTGGTGGACCAGCGACATTTATTCAGGTATATATTTATATTAGTGAGATTCAGAACCGAATTCTATTGTTTTATGATGATCTAAAGATATCAAGATCTTGTTCTTGATTTTTGTGCTGCATTAGGCTGCAGTTCCCACGATTCTGGAACAGACGGATGAATCATTCTTCAAGAAAACGTTGAACTCGTTGAAGAACTCTTCAGATATTTGTTATGACTGGATCAAGGAGATCCCTTGCATTGATTCCTCGTATCGACCAGAAGGATCCATGGCAATGATGGTGAGTTTATATTGAGAAATTGTGAATAATATTGTACAAATCTTAAAAAAAAAAACATTCTTAATTTGAGTTCTGCATTTCGTTTAGGTTAAGTTGAATCTATCGTTACTCGAAGATGTAAGCGATGATATTGACTTCTGTTTCAAGTTAGCTAGAGAAGAATCAGTCATCCTTCTTCCCGGTAAGGATAATTACTTCAATCTCTAATGATGATTTTTACATTTTAAGATAAATCTTGTTTTTGTTGATATATTACTTCAGTCTCTCTAATGTTTAATTTGATGCGGCTGAGCAGGGACGGCAGTGGGGCTACAGAACTGGCTGAGGATAACGTTTGCGGCCGATGCATCTTCGATCGAAGAAGCTTTTAAAAGGATACAATGTTTTTATCTCAGACATGCCAAGACTGAATCTCAACCCATTTAGTTGATTTCTGATTTTGGTATGGTCAAAATGTGCTTTTATAAAACAAATACAATATAGTATTTTATTCTATGTATAAATTTTGATATACAACTAGCTTTTTACTGTAATAAAACCAACTCTGAACTAAAAGAAAAAGAATTACTTGTTGAAAAGAAATAATTTGATTTCAATTACAGAAATAGTTTCGAGCACACGAAAGAAGTGTAAATTATATGATGTTGACAAAAAAAGTTTCTCTTATCAGTGGTACTATTCACGCAAAGTCATTTTGATAAAACTGTTTATTCCAGTCTGATATTTTATTTCGAATTCTTTTTTCTCTTTTTAGTAAGCATTTTAGTCCGATTTCTCATACTAATAAAGGATTTCGACTCTGTTCTTAATCTTTTTGTAGATAACTTCGTTCCGAATCTTGCATCTACAGACAGCAACAGCGTTATGCATTCATACTACTTTGAATTTGACGTTAGGCATAAATCTAAATTACCACATTTTAATGTTAGCATTAATTTTAATTTCTGTGACCATCAAGGCATGTTGGTACGTACGTGACTGACTGAGTGCATTGAACACATATCAAAGCCTAAATATGTTCTCTTGTAAACTTCAGAATCTGTTAAGGCCCAACAATGTATCTGAAAGGGAATGACAGAATAGTACTTAACGATTCTGATGTACAACCTCCAAAATGAATGAAAGAACTCAAAAAAGAAGATGCATTTTCCGGAATGAACCAAAAAGGTTTATACTTTATTTAATGTTTTGTTTAGATGATAATGTTATTAAATTTAAGTAGGTACGATACGACCAGCCCACGTGAAGACATGCATGTATTTGAGGGAAATACTTGTTAATCAACTAATTATTTAATTAATTAATCAGAATATTTTGTCCCACAGTTCATTCTTTTGAATAAGTACAGTGTGGGTCCATAAAGAACAGTTAGTTGGGCCTTGGGCCCCAAAGCTTTGATTCCTAAATGACCTCTTCCAAATAAACGCCTCCAATCTTTGTGTTAATCCTCAGTTCTATGTATTTTGTTCTTAGGTTTTTTTTATTTATGCTAGAGCTGAATGAACTATGTAACTTTTACAGGGAATCCAGATGATAGTGATCATTTAGAATATCTTCAACTTTCATTTTTGGACAATTACTTTTGGAGCTTTTATTTCATGGAATGATATATTTCTTCAGTAACTTAAACTGTTAAAACATATTCAAAACATCTTCAGTAATGTAAACATTTTACTTGCTTACCTTTTACATATAGAACACCCTTAATGTTTAGATGTGAGTGTATGCGTTATGTCTTATGTGTATATATATATCTGTAGTCACAACGTTGTATTGTACAAAGCACAATAAAGCAAACAAAAAAAGAGAGGAGAAAAATGGATACTGCTCAGACTCAGAGAAAACACAAGAAAAGGAGGCTAACACAAGAGCAAGTTAGTCAATTGGAGAAATGCTTCACGTTTAACAAGAAACTCGAGCCAGATCTCAAGCTTCAACTGTCGAACACGCTAGGTCTACCTCAGAGACAAGTCGCAGTTTGGTTTCAGAACAAGCGAGCCAGGTCCAAGACTCAGTCTCTCGAGCTCCAACTCTGCAATCTCCAGTCCAAGCTCGAAGCAGCCCTCTCTGACAAGGCAAAGTTAGAACATCAGGTGCAGTTTCTCCAAGATGAGCTGAGGAGATCGAGGAATCAGCTTGCTCTGTTCAAGAATCAAGATTCTCCTGTGGATAATTCTAATCTTGGTTCTTGTGAAGAGGGTCATGATGATCAAGTGGTGGTCTTTAACGAGCTTTACGCTTGCTTCGTTAGCAATGGACATGGATCTTCATCAACCTCATGGGTCTGACTCTGTTTCGACACCGACAAGATTCCAATATTCAGTCTTGTCTCTGTTTTATCTTCATTTGATCGGTTTCTCGTTGTCTAAATAGATTTACAATATGTAGTTAAAGTCATCCACTATCACTAATACAGTTTGTGTGAAAATTGGAAAAAATGAGTTTCTTCATTTCTTCTTGTGATTATAAGAATATAAAGAATTAAGGTCAAGAACTGCAAAGTTGAACAACCAAAATCAACAACTACTTCATGGTCTAGTTTCAAATTACCTTATTGATCACATCAAGTCTTTTTCATTCAAGATTTTGTAACATGTTAACAAGATTTTGTTGCATCATTAGCATCTCAGATGCTCATGTGCAAACGAGTTGATAAATAAAAGGAAAATTAAACAAAGACAACACGAACAACTACTTCGTGGTCTACTTTATTATCGCCTTACGTGAAACAGAAGCTACATACTTCATTCAAGATATGCATCGTTGAGTAGATTCTCCAAAGTGTCAACAAACTTGTCGGTGTAACTGGTTAACAATCCCGGACTAACCACGACCTCCTTCAACTTGGAATGGTTCCTCCTCACCAGATTCCCGATCTCGCTATCTTTATCCATCACAGAGGTGACTGCAACACTCAAGCTCTCCTTGGAGAACCAACCTGTTTCTTCTCTTTCCACTTCAACCGAAACCTCGAGTTCATCAGTCAACAATCTCGTGTTGAGAACTTGATCGGCCAAATATGGAAGCAAGACTATTTGGCAATCACTCATCAGAGACTCCCACATTGACCCAAACCCACAATGGCTCACGAAGCAGCCTACTGATGAATGAGCCAATATCAATGGTTGCTGCACCCATTCTCCCCAAACCACTCCACGACCCTTAACCCTCTCCTCGAACCCTTCTGGTAACGCTTCTTGAATCGTCTTTTCGCCTTTTGGTGGCGTTACTGCCACAAGAAACGGTAAGCCAGTGAGCTCCATTCCTAAACAGAGTTCTTGGAACTGGTCTTTCTCCAAAGTGATCTGACTTCCCAATGCACAGAACACTACAGAGCCCTTTTCAAACCCGCTAAGCCAATGAAACCATCGTTCTTCAAGTGGCTTACTCTTGTCTGGCTCAGGAAGCATTGGACCCGTCAAGAGAACGTTCTTCTGGTATTGACGCGCTATATAGTCGCAGAACTTACCTTCGATTTCTTTGCATGTCCTAATCGAAATGAAATCACAGTTCGTAAGACCTGTGGTGAGCCGGTAATAAAACCTCTTGTAGTAGACGGAGAAGGACAACAAGGCGTGAGCATGGTGTCCGCGGAACAACAGCTTTGACGAAGGATAACCAGGTGGAGGAACTCCAAGTTCACCACCAGGGACAAGGTCATGAGCTATTGATGTAGCTGATATCACGTTGTACAGCATGCTCTTGAGTCCAAACTCTTTCGCCACTTCGGGAACCCAGTGAGCAAGATCGAACAAGATCAGGTCTGGTTTCAAGGCACGAACCGCGGCTTCCATCTGATCGCGTGTGAGATCCATGGCTGTGGACAAGAACCTCCACAACGAGACGTGGATATCTGAGGGCGTCTCGGCGCCAGCAGGGAGACCATCAACATGAGGAATAGTAATAGGGTGAAAGACGATGCTGTCTGGGAACAGATTAAGATGTTCAAGTTGCTTTTGAGCTTTCTTGGGTAACAAGAAAGTGACTCTGTGGCCTTTCTCAGCTAACTTGTTGGCTAGATGCAAGTATGGAGTCATATGACCAAAAGCGAACCATGGGAACATAAAAGCGTGAATCTTTTGACCCATTTTTCTTTCCAACATTGTGGAAACAAGCAGAACAAGAAATTTTAAAGACTTCAAAGAGAGCCAGAAGAATGAATTTTTGTTGTGTTTCAAATCATAAGCATCTTTTCTATTAGAAGTTTTTTGCGAGTATGATGCTTTTTCCCTCCTAAGGGCACCTATATTTATGTTGTGAAAGTTTGTGAAGGGTGTGCTTTAGGTTAAATTACTAGTGAGGGATTATAATATTACGTTAATTACTAGTCTTTTTGTTTGTTGCTAAAAATAGTTAATATCTTATCTAGTGCTTAATATAGGTTAAACTAGTAAGGAAGTACGGGATTGCATGTGGCATGTGCCATATACTCGAAATCTGGAATCGGATGCGCAGTCTGGTCACAAAAAACGGGGCATTCAGAGTTTATTGATCCGGGTATTACTTAGAGAATTTTTAAAATAATTATAATGAATTTGTTCAAAAAAGTTCAAAAATATTGTGAAAATCACTATGAAATTTTCTAATTTTTTATTTAATATTCTTCCGTTGGACCATGATTACATTTACATGTATAGTGGTATGTTTATAAATACCGATATCTGGAGTCAAACTAGGTAATATATGTACGTAAACAATTTTGTGTTATTCTTTTTAATAATAATTAATTATCTTAACGGATTTTAACGTTAAATTATTGGGTAGGAGCAACTTCAAATTTTTGTAATTTTTTTGTTTGGATCCGCCAGATCCGAGTATTTTAATTTTCATTGATATCCGGTTCAAAAAGGAAAGCGAAAAAACAAAGACCAAGAAAATTTTAAATGTTTTTTTCATCTTTGGTCTTTGTTTTTTCATTTTTGGTCTTTTTCTATTATATAACCAAGGGATCCAATGTATATAATAATATCGTAAACAAAATTTCTTTATTTATAAGAAAAATGTAAAAATGACAACTACTTAGCTTGGTCTAGTTTATATTTATTTGAAACAGCTGCAACGTTCTTCTCTTAAAGTAAAGTATTTCATTCAAGATTCGTATCGTTGACTAGATTCTCCAAAGTGTCAACAAATTTATCCGTGTAACCGGTTAATAATCCAGGACTAACCACAACCTCCTTCAACTTGGCGTGGCTCCTCCTTACCCGGTTCCCTACTTCACTGTCTTTGTCCATCACAGACATGATCGCACCGCTCAGGTTTTCTTTTGAAAACCATCCTGTTTCTTCTCTCTGCACCTCTACAGAGACCTCAAGTTCCTCGGTCATCAATCTCGTGTTGAGAACTTGGTCATTCAAATATGGAAGCAAGACTATTTGACAATCACTCATCAGAGACTCCCACATTGACCCAAACCCACAATGGCTCACAAAGCAGCCTACTGATGGATGAGCCAATATCAGTGGTTGCTGCACCCATTCTCCCCAAACCACTCCACGACCCTTCACCCTCTCCTCGAACCCTTCTGGTAACGCTTCTTGAATCGCCTTTGCGCCTTTTGGTGGCGTCACCGCTACAAGAAACGGTAAACCAGTGAGCTCCATTCCTAAACAGAGTTCTTGGAATTGGTCTTTCTCAAGAGTGATTTGACTTCCTAATGCACAGAACACTACCGAGCCCTGTCCTAACCCGTTGAGCCAATTACTCCATCGATCTTCAAGTGGTGTACTCTTGTCTGGCTCAGGAAGCATTGGACCGGTCAAGAGAACTTTCCTCTGGTACTGACGCTCGATATAATCGCAGAACTTACCTTCGATTTCTTCGCATGTCCTAATCGAAATGAAATCGCAATTCATAAGACCTGTGGTGACTCGATGATAAAACCTCTTGTAGTAGGCGGAGAAGGACAACACGGCATGAGCATCATGTCCACGGTACAACACCTTCGATGAAGGATAACCAGGTGGAGGAACTCCTAACTCACCACCAGGGACAAGGTCATGAGCTATACAGTTAGCTGATATGACGTTATACATCATACTCTTGACTTTATGTTCTTTAGCCATTTCCGGAATCCAGTGAGCAATATCAAACAAGATCAGATCCGGTCTCAGGGCACGAACTGCGGCTTCGACCTGATCGCGTGTCAGATCCATGGCTGCGGACAAGAACTTCACCAGCGATACTGGGATATCCGAGGCGGTCTCGGCTCCAGCAGGGAGGCCATCAACATGAGGAATCTTTAGCGGGTGAAAGACGATGGTGTCTGGGAACAAATTAAGATGTTCCAACTGTTTCTGAGCTTTCTTAGGAAGCAAGAAAGTAACCCTATGACCTTTTTCAGCTAACTTGTTGGCTAAATGCAAGAACGGTGTCATATGACCAAAAGCAAACCATGGGAACATAAAAGCGTGAAACTTTTGACCCATTTTTACTTTCGAAATTGTCGAAACAGAGGCAACCCACAAATCGTCAAAGAGAGCTAAAACAAGATTTTTGTGTGTGTGTGTCAAATCATAAGCATTTCTGTTCTTATTTTCTTGAGTAGAAGTTTCTGCTATTGAGATGCTTTTCCTCTCCCAAGTCCCAAGGTCATCCCTGTACTTAGCTTGTGAAAGTGTGTGAAGGGTGTTTAGTCAATTATTAGTAGGGGGTTAGTACAGTAATTAGTTGTTGATTAAAGCTTTAGGTTAATTATTTGTATAGTTTGTCTTTTGTGGGCAAGTAGCGGACTGCATGTGCATGTGCATGTGCCAGATATTATTTTTTTTTTAATTTATTATAGCAAATAAAAATGTATTTTCCTTCGTCCTTATTAGAAAAATTGTTTGATTTAGCATCAAATGTAAGTTATGTAACGTATATGCCTTGAGAAAAATACAATGGCGCGTGAACGTTAAAAAGATATCGACGCATATTCAAAAGAAAATACAAATGGCTTAACGACAGTCAAATTTACATAGCAGCTAGTCGATGTTGATTTCAGGGATCATGGTCTCGATTTTGGCATGAGACTTGTGAGTAACACAATACAGTGAGAAACAAAATCTTGAATACGACTAATTTTTTTTTTTTTTCAAATACGTTTTCCCATCAAATCCTAGATTTGTTAATTTTAAATTTAATTTCAATTAAAATTCGGCCAAAAAGTGACAAATCAATATTTTTCTGCAAGACTGTTTAGTTAAATTTTTTTTTTTCGATAATTACACTATATATTTTTCGAAATAATTAAATTTGTTAACTTTACAAAAGCAAAGTCCAATTTCCTTATTTTTTTCGCCAAAACTTGTTTCCAAATTTTTAGCAAGATTTTGTCAAAATTTTAACGAAAATGCAATTTTGATTCTGTTAAAAAGTATTTAACTAGAACTAAAGGAATCACACCTTCGCAGCATCTTTTATTTTATTTTATTTAGATTAATAAGTTAACTAGTACATCTTTAAAGCATATCAAACGCACGTCAAAAAAGAGAAAAGCACAACACTTTAAACAGAACCAAAATATCAAACCCTCACGATATTGTTGTAACACAACTTAAATGCAATCTCACGTCCCAACAAAGAAAACAACGCTATTCTCTTCAAAGATCAGGTAAGAACGAAAACAGATTCTCTTTCAGAAGAAAAAAAAAAAAAAGACGAAAGAAAACAGATTCATTTCTGAAACCAAAAGGAGACTGGATGTTTTTTTTAGATCAATGCAGTCTGGATCGGTCTGAGACCCTTTTGATAGTAATCGAAGTAGATCTCCCCATAGTTCTTAATAGTTTTGTACAACCTTGGTCTTGCCTCAGACACAAGCCCATCTTCAGGTTGAAGCTCTTTGTCCGCACCCGCATTGCAAAACGTTGCCACTGATATCCTTTCCTTTTCTCTGTTTGTCACTACTCTATGAATCGCGCTCTTGTATATTCCATTGCTCATTATCTGAACACGCATTGAGAGATTATATAAAATCTACACCAATCAGTATTTGAAAATCATATGCATGTATACATTATTGATTACCTCGGTCATATCTCCTACAATGATCATAATCGTATTGGGGAGGGTTGTAGCTTTATACCAGTTCCCATCTTTGAGGAACTGAAGCCCTTCGGCATTTTTGTCAGGTAAGAGAAAAGTGACGATTCATCAGCGTGCGGTTTAAACCCAAGAACATTGTCCACCCTCGGACATGGAGGATACATGTTGAATCTTGTCTCCAACGTAGCATTTTCCCCACACATCTCTAGAAAGCAATTATCTTCCAACCCCAACGATCTAGCTATTGCCTTGAACAATCTCTCACTCACTTGTTGTTGCTTCATTGTGTATTCATGTAAAGTTTCCCTATAGAAACGATTGGCCAAGATGAGATTTTGAGTCAACTACAAAAATTGCTCCAATTTATATTAAATCAAAGCGTTTACGTACACTTTATAAGTCATAAACAAAATTAATATATAACTACCCATTTCCGAAGTATTAATTGAAATTTGTTGTAATTTAGAGAATAACATGTAGAGTAGTGTATAACACGGAAGAACAGAATTGTAAAAAAGGAAAATGATTAAAATATTTTATAAAAGAAATCAATAGAATAAAAAAAGAGAGAAAGAGTAGAGAACGAGAGACGGAGAGAGAAAACTTTGCTGGTGAAGTTGGATATGACTAGAACAAAAACATCGCGACAGTATTTACCTTAATGATGATAATAAATGTTAAAAAAAAAAATTACCTTAAAGTATATAGCAAATTAGCAATAGCGTCACATGCTTAAAATTACAGACGAGCCACTTGTAACAAGCACGTTTATTTGTTATTTTATTTAAATCGGTCTCAAATGCATAGTGTTCTAGTACAAAAGCCAAAATATATATGTATATAACTAGACCTTTTCAATAAAATGTACTTTTAAAGGTTTCTTGAACGTTTATATATATATATATATATATATATATAATAAAAGTCTCTTGATGCTTTTTAAAGATGTGTCCGTAGCTAGGGTAGTTACAAACACGGCTCTGTATATATGTGGACTTTACCTGAATTCGACCGGGATTTCAGGCCAGAATTTAAGCTGGCGTTGATCTTCAGGATAAGCAAGGAGGTCCAAGCGGTCGTTCCAATCGAGAACTTGATCGTCCGTCAGTATCATGTCGTTTCCATATCCTTGATAACCATCAATCTCTCTTGCGTACTTCTGTTTCTCTTCGGTCGGAAGCGCAAAGAACTGCTTAGTTAACTCATAAATCTTGTCCAGAAACGCTTCTGTGATTCCATGATTCATCGCCTGTTTCAACTAGAAGTCAGATTCCATGACTTCACCGGAACATCTACAGAATTCAATCACTATAACTCTAAGAAGGTCATACCTGAAAAACGCCCCATGTAGAGAGCGCGGAGTGAAGTTTACTCAACTCTTCTCGACCATCATCAGAAGAAGAGAGGAGACTATGAAGATCTATGGTCGGAATATCTATGGTCAGAATTTCTGGCACGGGAACATTAAGAGTTTGACCTTCGCTGTCGTCGGTGTGTTTGTAGAGGTACCTTTCCGGTATTCCTTCGCCGGTTGCAATCACCTCTTGGACAGTCTTGAACTTTGACTTCTCCATTGATGATCTTTTTGGACAAAAAAAGTTTTTGTAATAGACCAAGAAGATCTAGAATTTGTGGTCGCTTTGGTATTACTAAACTCAATGACAACACTAAACTCAAAAAGTTTGATAACATTATTTCCGTGTATGCTCCGGACAAAAAATGCCGTTTCGGAACATTATCTTAAGTCGATTCTAGCATATTACAGCGTACAAGCTGTCAGATGATGACATATTTTTCCATTTTTTTTTTTAATTTTGATGTAAATAATAGAACAAAATGTAGAATTAAGGCGTGAAAAAGAAAAAAGAGTTATAAATGTGCCAAGTAGCCATATTTGGATGGATCAAAAATATAATAATCATCAAACACCTTGGAATCATAGAAATTCATCTCTAAAGTAAAATAAATGTTTTTACACTCATAGAGCATTGATCTTGATACGCTAGGCATTCTTGAAAGCTTTGACCCCGATAACGTCATTATAATGCGTCAGTAGATAGATGATAAAATTATCAGAGGTGAATGGAAATGGTGTTCGGGTTAGGGTTTTCTATTTTAGTTGGCGAACAATATTATTCTTGTTGAGAAAAAACGTATAATATAATTATGTGAGTTGTATATGGTGGACCTTAGTCTTAAATATATTTGGACTATACATATCAACCACTTTATTTCCGGCCGGGTGCATAATTAAATACTTAATATTAATCGGTTAGCTGTTTAAATTTCCTTCAAAATGGAAAAATGAATATATAGATTTTTTTTTGTTTTTACCAAATTTATAATATATAAAAGTGTTCTGCCCCGGTAGAAAATCTACCGTTCTTAAACAAGAGGTTGAAATCATAGATAAAGGAAAGTGGAGATGGTACTCCTGAACACAAAGATAGAAGACCATTTGATCTCCATTATTAACGATAAACTCTGGAAGTAAATAAAGAAATATTCAAAGACACTCTTAGCCGATATATCTCTGGTTCGATTCGTGTAGTTTTGTCAGGTCGGTCCTGTGTTTGCATCAGAATCCTTTTCTTCAGACCATTGCACCTTCGATCGATTTCCGACCCTGGTGATAGTACTTGAAGTAGATCTCCGCATAGTTCTTAATTGTTTTGTACAACCTTGGTGTTGCCTCAGACACAAGCCCATCAACAGGTTGAATCACTTGTTCTGCATGTGGAAAGCAAAACGTTGCCACAGATATCCTTTCCTTTTCTGTGTTAGTCACCACTCTATGAATCGGGCTCTTGTATACTCCATTACTCATTATCTAGAACACACATGCATGCATGAGAGATTCTATCAAATCTACACCAATTAATCTTCAAAAATCATATATTCATATGCATATACATAAATGATTAGTTACCTCGAGCACGTCTCCTACAGTGACCAGGATCGTATCAGGGATGATTGGAGCTTCATACCAGTTCCCATCTTTGAGGAACTGAAGCCCTCCCACATTTTTGTCGGGTAAGAGAAGAGTGACGGCCGAGCCATCAGTGTGGGGTCTAGACCCAATAACCTTGTCCGGCCTCGGACATGGAGGATACATGTTGAATCTTATGTCCATTATAGAATTTTCTCCACACATCTCAACAAAGCAGTTATCTTCCAGCTCCAACGATCTAGCCATTCCTTTGAATAGTTGATCTCTCAGTATATTTAGCTTCATTGTGTATTCATGCAAAGTTTCCCTATCGAAACGATTATCGAAATAACAAAAGTTAACGTTTAACAAAAATAAATAAAAATAGTAATAATAAAAGTCAACGAAGCAACATGCTGTTGAACTTGAGACTGAAAAAAATCTAGGGATTTTACCTAAATCCGGTTGGGATTTCTGGCCAGAACTTAAGCTGTCGAAGATCTTCAGGGTAAGTAGTGAGGTGCAAGCGGTCGATCCAATCAAGAGCTTGATCATCAGAAATTATGATGTCGTTTCCATATCCTTGGTAACCACCAACCTCTCTCGCGTACTTCTGTTTCTCTTCAGTCGAGAACGCAAAGAACTGTTTGGTTTGCGCGTAAACCTTGTCCAAGAACGCTTCCGTAATCCCATGATTCCTCACCTGTCTCAACGAGAAAATCAAGATTCAATGTAATCACCGAAACATCTATAGAATTTTATGACTTTAAATAAATAATAAGAGGGTTCAAACCTGAACAACGCCCCATGTAGAGAGCGCGGAGTGAAGTTTTCTCAACTCTTCTTGACCTTCATCAGAAGAAGAGAAGAGAAGGCTAAGATCGATGGCTGAAATTTCCATCTCCGGCATCAAACCGTTAAGAGGTTGACCTTCGCCGCCGCCGGTGGGTGGGAAAAGGTATCTTTCCGGTAGTCCTTCGCCCGCCGCAACTAACTCTTGGACAGTCTTTAGCTTTGGCTTCTCCATTGTTTTGGGAGGATCTTTGTTTGATGGTATTGAATGTGTTCGTCAGTGTGGTATTTAAAAGGCAAAAATAGCACTATCATAATATGCAACTTGAAGTTACTAGAGGACAGAAAATGCCTTTTAATACTTTGAAGATGCAAGTTAATTAGTTGCCCAGGACCCGACAAAAAATGCGTTTGGTAACATATTTTTTTAAGGGAGAAGAGTGTATATATAATGTATGCATGAGACGAGACTTACAAAATAGGAAGACTTATTAGAGAAGTTCCTATTACAAATTTGATTTTTGTTTACGGAATCTTACCTACTTATTCCAATTTTCCTTATATATAATTTTCTTTATTTAAAATTACCTTAAATACTCAGAAAAAATTCCTTATATAGAACATAATTCATAAAAGGGATTATATTCATATGATTTTTTTGTTTACTTAGAGTTACAATTCAAATTTTTAAATTTGAATACTTAGAGTTAAAACAAGGGCAATGTGTAGTAGAGATTTTTTTTGTTCTTGCCATAATGTGTAGTAGAGATATGTATAGTTAAACTTAACATATAATTGTTTGACATGTTAACCACTAATTAGTATTAACATTTATTTAGCATATCAACAACTTCATATTTAACAATTAATTTTATTTAGTTAGTATGATTAGTTTAAATTTATATGTTAAATAGCAAAAAGTAGTAGCTGAAGTAGCGGCTGTTACAACTAGGCAGTAGCTTATAGTGACATTTTAACGTCAATTGAGTTTTGAATTATTTAATGGTTATATAATCATATCGTTCATATTTAATTACTACTGGGAGAGAATCATATCGCAGCAGCAGATCTTGTTTATTTTAGGGATTTCTGTCAAAGGTTAATTGAAAATGGTATACTTTTTTTGCAAAATTTATCATTAACTTGTAAAAAATGCTTGTAAAACCTATGAGCTGAATTTCATCAGCAATATCATTCGTCATCACTACAGTCAAGTTAGTTAAATCATCATAAATATATCAAATCGAAGCCATCGCAGCAAAAAATCCAAATATATTTTAAATATTTAGAATTTTTTAATTGTATAATTGTATATGATCGGAAAAGTTTTTTAAAGATATATTTTGTTTTTTGTTAACTAATTTAAAGGTTATAATACGGACCAAATTCGAATTTATGAGTTGAGGATAAACTTCTTTAGAAATAATCTCTCACTATAAAATTATCTACACCTAGTCGGATATGTTTTATTATGATTTCTACTGGTTTTCTTTTCTATACCAATACTGAAAGTTCATCAGTAAAAAAATAAGTGTTAAGACCCCTTTTATTTTTATCAAGAATATATATTTGTTCAAGAAAAGTTTATTGATACTATTACATGAATGATAGTAATCTCGCTCCTTTTTGGCGTTATTGCTTTTCTGATAGAAAAATTGCTTTGGAAAAGTTTGAAATTGAATAATCACTAATCAGCATATCAAAGGCTTTTAATTAGGCTTCGAATCACATTCTTTGAAGCATTCTTCTTTGGCGTAAGGATTATCTTTGTTTTTCCAACATAAATTCTTGTGAACTTTAGGTGTGAAGCAACACCAACAGTCCCTTTTAAAGATAGCATCGCAAGTGCTTGGGTAACACGATGGTATATAGATGGCGCTGCGTCTCTTTATCTCTCCAACCTCCAATCTCCCACCTACAACATCGGTTTAAACACACAAACAATGTTTTAACAATGAAAACAAAACAAAAAACTAAAACAAAGAAAGAAAAAGAGAAATAATGTACACGTACACTCATGCAGAGCGAAGAGGGATAACGTGACTGTTAGAGATGAGATTCGTACCGTCTCTAACAAGCCCGATATGAATTCTAGTCGGCCCATCTAACAAGTTCCAAGTCGGCAATATAAAAGGAAAGCTTCCATTTATCAAGCGACCCGGCGAAAAAGGAAACTCCTTACCGACAAGAGTTTCCTATTCCGAATAGGTTGAAGACCGACCTGATCGGCTATAAATATAAGAAGTCCACGACTTCTCAATCCATCCGAAAAAACCATCGATCAAGACCTAGAGCAAAACTTAAGCGATCAGATTGTTCTAGTTCTTGATTTATTTCCTTAAACAGTTTTAGGTCGGCGTTCTTATTCTGACGACCTAAACACCGTTGTATTTAACCAAGCTTCGACTTCTTATAATAAAAAGATCTCTTTGAAACCCTCGAACCCTAGTTCTTTCGTAGATCGAACTTGAGTTTTTACAGTTGGCGCCGTCTGAGGGGACTAAAAGAGTAATCTTTGACTTAGAACGGAGTTTGAAGATGGTTCAAACACCGATCAACACTACCGACCTCACAGGAGCCTCCGATCCGACAAGAACAATTAAGGATCCGATCATCGACCTAGCCACAGGGCTTCCGGTGGCCCACCAGACCGATCGGGAAGACAACACAACTACCGCACAGAACACAGGGGGAACTGACCAGGTCGGTCAGTCGGGTGGCATAAACACGACCAGCCTGCCACAACCACCTCCCATCGACATGACCACGATCATTAGGTCGGTTGCAGCACAGTTGCAATAGGGGATGGATGCTCGCTTCGAGTCCCTCCGTGCCGAGCAGATAGCTTACAGAGAAGACTTGGATCGGCTTATAAACTCTAGGGTTTATACCCAAGAGCAGGCCGATCTTATCACTCCCCCTCGCCCTTCGATCCGCAACACAGATACGACCAGGCTGATCAATAACTTGTTTGGCACGACACCGACAGACGACTTACGAAGAGCACAGGCAGACGGCTCGCATGCCCGCTCATCTCGCAATATCGCAGGAACCGACCCGACGACAACCTCAGAACTCGATCTGCTCCACCAACGCCTTGATGATATCCACAGCAAGATCCACAAGGCGACGACTTCTGCGCCCGAGTTGGATAAGATCCTTCAGGAGACACAGCAGACCCCGTTCACGACGGCTATCACCAATGCTCCTCTTAAGGATATAGGTCGGATGAAGCTACCTCTAAGTTACTCCGGCACGACAGACCCGAAGCGACACCTGACCGCGTTCAACGCAGTCATAGGACGTGCTCGCTTTACCGATGAGGAACGGGAAGCATGCCTCTGTCAATACTTTGTAGAGACGCTCTCCGGAAGCGCCCTCACTTGGTTCTCACAGCTTCCCAAAAACTTCATCGACAGCTTCAAGGAGCTCACAGCTCGGTTCCTGAAGCATTATTCGATTTACATCGACACGGAATCCACAGCGCTCGATCTATGGGCATGCGTCCAGGGCGATACAGAGCCGCTGCACGATTTATCGACCGATTCCGATCAATCGTCTCCCAGTGCAGTCTGTCGGACGAACTGTGTTTCAACATTCTTATCAAGAATTTGAAGGACGATTCATCGTTTTGTGAACGATTAAAGACAGGAAAAACCAAATCCCTTGAGGATGCTTTGCACAAGGCATCCGGGTACATCAGAGTCGAAGAGGATCGGGCAGCCAAGGCCAAGGCCAAGTTGATCGATGAGAAATCTTCGCGCGACAAGAAAGGCAGATCGTCGAGTCAGGAAGATTACAAAGAGCCCCGTCAGCACTACGACAAGGATGACAAGAATCGCAAGAGCATCAACACAGTTGGACGACCAAAAAAGCCATGGAACGTGTGGGACCGCTCGAGCGACAGAGACCCCGACAGCAAAAAGCCGTGGTGCAAATACCATAGGGCGCACGGTCATCATACCGATGATTGCCGCACCCTCCCAGCCCTCTTGAGGAAGAGGTGGGACGATGGCGAGATCACCCTTCCAGAACCCCGGAGTTCACGATGATCCGACGAAATGGACAGGCGACCCGATGACGATCGCGATAGAAGAGATAACACCGATCGCTCTTCTAAACGCGAGGGCAAAGAAGCAAAGCGTGACCGTGAAGACGATCACACACCTTCAAGCTCACCGCGTCGGCAGATCAACATGATCATGGGAGGGCTCCTCTCGTGCACCGACTCGATAAATTCAATTAAACGGCACGAACGGAAGGCAGCCAATCCCCCGAAGAACGCACCACTACTGTTTAAGGACGACCTACCGATCACATTCACAGAGCAGGACGCGCATGATATCGACCGACCTCATAACGATCCACTCGTCATCTTACTGCAACTCGGAGAGGACGACGTCTCCAAAGTGTTGATCGACACTGGAAGTTCGGTCGACCTCATCTTCATGGATACTCTACGCAAGATGAGTATCCCCGAGCGGGACATCAAAGTCGCACCATCACCACTCACAAGATTCGCTGGAGACTCGATTTCGACAATAGGAACTATAACGATGCCCGTCACCATACGCGGGAAATCAATTACGGTCAAATTCGAGGTTATTGACTGACCTGCGATCTACAATGCCATCCTTGGAACACCATGGCTGAACGCCATGCGAGCAGTCCCTTCTCCTTACCATCAATGCATCAAGATGCCGATCAGGGGCCGTGTCATCACCATCCGTGACGACCAGAGAGTGTCCCGACATTGTTACATCGACAACAAGCGCGCCCGAAAGGCATCAACGTTCGTGATCGGTAGTAATAGCGATTTCGACCCACAGATCGTTCATCACGACGAGCAGCCGAAGAGCGATCTTATCACCCAAGTCAACATTGATGCTGCCCATCCGGAACGTTGCGTCGGTATCGGCACGGAACTGTTGCTTAGCATGCAGGATGAGCTGATCAGTTTCCTCCGAGAGAACGTCGCAACGTTTGCGTGGTCCATGGCCGACATGAAGGGCATTAACCCCCTAATAACGAGTCACGAATTGAACATCGACCCAATCTTCAAGCCGATCAAGCAGAAGCGACGAAAGTTAGGCGCATTCGTACAGCTCAAAACCTACCTTTCGACACCACCGATCCTGGCCAAACCTGAGTACGGCGACACTCTGCTACTCTACGTTGCGGTCTCCATCACGGCAATCAGCGGAGTCCTGGTTCGAGAGGACCATGGGGAGCAGAAGCCGATCTTCTACTTCAGCAAAATCTT